TTCAAGGACAAACCGGCGCTCGAAATCGCCGTGTTCGCCTCGGCAACCGAGTCCTTCTCGCAGCGCAACCTCAACTGCGACATCGCCACCTCGCTCGCCCGCTTCCGCGACGTCATCCAGGCCGCCAAGGACACCCACGCCCTGCGCGTGCGCGCCTACATCTCGGTCGTGTTGGGGTGCCCCTTTGAGGGGTACGATGTAGACCCGCACCGCGTCGCGCACGTCGCGACGGAGCTGCTGGAGATGGGAGCGGATGAGATCGCGCTGAGAGATACGACCAGAGATGGGGACTGCGCCGAGGACGTAAGAAGTTGTTGAATTGTTTGGCCAAGGCGGGCGTGAGGAATGAGGATGTCGCGATGCATTTTCATGATACGTATGGTCAGGCGTTGGTGAATACCGCGGTTGCGTTAGAGCATGGGATCAGGACGTTTGATTGTAGTGTTGGTGGGCTTGGGGGGTGTCCGTACTCGCCGGGGGCGACGGGGAATGTGGCGACGGAGGATGTGGTGTATTTTATGGAGACGTTGGGGATGGATACGGGCGTGGACTTGGATGGGGTGGTGGATGTGGGGGAGTGGATTACGCGCGAGATTGGGAAGGAGAATGCGAGTACGGTTGGGAAAGCCGTTCTCGGGGCGCGGAAGAGGACCGAGGCGGATAAGGAGACAGCGTAAGTCGTGCATGTTGGAATTGTTGATGTTGGCTGTTTGAACCTTGCCATTTAGGCGCTTGGGCGGCGAAGTGAACAAGCAGATTTGTCTTTAACGTTGAGACTTCTCCAGGGCCACACAACCAAATCTGTCGCGGCGCCATTCGTCAGTAAAAGCTTTTAAGCAGCATGATACCTGTCCCTCCACACGATCCCCGAGATACAACCCTTGTCAGAACCAATACGATGGCTACCCGGATGGGTAACGCCAGACCTGGCTGTACGACGCTGGCCCTGGGTATTATCTGCGCTGTTGGAGAGCTTTAGCCTTCTCCAGCAAACATGCATCCCAGCTGAAGCTCCAATGTCGTCCCTCGTGAATCCAAACAATGGCCCAAAGGCGGAGAAATGAGATCAAAGGCCGGGGGAATCCAGGTCGTCCTATGGTAGTTTTTCCTGGTCGTTGAGAAGAGTGGCGCCATTTTGAGAAAAAATTGGTGAAGTCCCCCGTACAAAAGCCCCCGGCGTCGGATGGAAAGCCACATTGTCTCACTCACAAGGGGCCAGAGCCCCCAGTCAGCAAATGCACGAGCAAACCAATGTCTATTGATCGTCCTTCGCGAAAGTATTGGCTACAATAAACGGAAAGCAAGTGGTGGCCTCCACATAGACCTTGACGACAGTTAGCAACCACCCAGTCACTTCAACAGACACAGACGCTACTCACCTTGACCGCATCCGCGCCAACCTTGATCTTCCCCCACGACACGGCCTCGTCCGGCCGGGCCCCTGCGTCACTCCCATCAAATTCCTGCGCCGTGTTGATGTACACGGCCGACTCGGCCCCGTTCCGCATCAGGCACGCGTTGGCGATGTGGTGCTTGACCACCCCGCCGCCCAGGATGATCATGCCCGCGCGCTTGGCCCGCACCGCGATCGTGTTGATCTTGCGGATGTCCTCGACAATGTCCACCCGCAGCTGCTGCGGCGACGTCTTGAACGTGTGGAAGTACAGCATGTCGCCCAGGCTGCCGTCCGTCAGGGCCGGGCAGAAGACTGGGATGTTGTTTTTGTACGCCCAGTAGTAGACGGACCGCTCGTCGTTGATCTCCTTGCCCAGGCGGTGGATGATTTTGGAGGGTGTCCAGTGGAGCTCGTCCTCGGTTCCCCGGCTGGCCTCCTGCTCTTCGAGCATCTTGTCGAGGATGGGGACCACCCAGTCCTCGAATGCGCAGTAGTTGGAGTTGGGCACGACGAGGTTGCCGATCCGGTTAAGGCCCTTGGAGCGCAGCTCCGCGCCGGCCTCGCTGAAGGACGACATGTACGTGTCGCCGAGGCACTTGATGAAGTCCTCCTCGATGCCGCCCGCCGTGGTTACGATGGCAGAGACATGCTTGTGCTGAACCAGGTACCGGAACACGCCCCGGAGACCCGACGAGATCATGTTGGAGGTGTAGCCCAGGAAGATGGTCGTCTTGTCCCCCGACTCGGGGTCTTTCCATGCTCGCTGAACTCGGTTAGTGGGAAGTGCACCGCGCCGCGGTACTCGGCCCCCGTACTACAGACAAACACAAACTCAAACTCAAACTCAACCAGTTCGTACCATTTCGTTGATGATGCGGACGGCCTCGCACATGGACGATGCCTGGAAGCCCATGTGCTTCATGCCCTGGAAGAGGTCGTCGACGGTGATGGGCCGGCCCTTAAACTTGTTGAAATCGAGCTCTTCCACCTTTTGCGCGTTCTCTGGCATCTCGACTGACTTGACTAGCACCGCATCCGTGGCGGCGCTGGGGGGTGCGTGGGAATCCATCTCGATGGCACTCGGTGGAGGTGAGGTGAGGAGAAAAGTAGTTGTCGCTGCCAACCAGCACCGAACACACCTATTCAGCAGGTAGCTATAGTTATAGTGTGTGTAAATAAAATGGTGGTTGATAGCTCTGGTAATTCCGAAATTACAGGCTTGTCGTGATAGGGCCAGTCTAGCACTTCCGGATGACCGGCGAGAACTTCGTGTCGTTCGTCAGGAATACAAGTACCCCGCTCCACTTTGTTCGATGACTGGTCCCAACTCTCTTCTTGTACGATTTTCAGGGGGATAGCACCGTCCGATGGTTGTTTCTTTTTTTGGGTCTGAGATTTTAATCAATCTCTCAGGAAGAATCTGGATTTTCAGCCTTAGCCTTTCAAGCTCTCAAAAAGCAAGCTTGAGGCAGGAACCCAGTGGCCCAATGCTTCTCTGGGATTGAAGTCTGTTGCACTAACATTTAAATCTCTTCCTCTTTCAGCCGAACCCCCACCAATCGGACGTTTGCAACGGGTGTGGAAGGCTCAGCAAATCGGGTCTAGCGTGCGGCACGAAATAGCGGGTGGCTCCACAGACTTGGATCTGTGTGGCAAACGCCGAGGTGGGTCCCAGAGCCATGCACCCTGCTCAGGGCTGTTTCCGACTTGGAAATCGGTACGTACCGCCCTCCCTGCAGCGCAACACGAATTGGAGTGCAGTCCCGCTTGCCGGCTGGTGGGGCGCTTGTGTGACAGCGAGTGGCCTGGAGGGCGATTCAAGACCCGCTCACGGGGTCATCCAATCTTCAGCCGGGTTCGAGATGCCCCTTCCAGGTTCTCCTCCAAAACATTAAACCCGCCATCCAAATCGCGTACCTTTTTTGCCCGGCATCCGAACAAGCTAGTCGCTATCGTCACTTCATCGGTGTTATATCCCGAGAGTACGGCCATTCTACATTCAAGCTGGATTTTGGGTGTTTTGAGGCCGTCTCGTGCAGTTGCCACAGTAGTGTGCGCGCGGCAGCCCGACGTCCGCGCACCTCGGCCGGCGCCTTGCTGCTGACACCAGCAGTTTCGTCGTCATTCTTTTACCGCAGTAAAAACCTCAATAACGACGCCTAATCAAGTAGAATCCGAAACCTAGAGCCAGTCATGCGGTCGGATTGACGCGTCATCGCCGATACTTGAGATACCTAGGGCTTCCCTGCGCGCAGTGCAATGTAGGTTCCCTTCGTCCTCGAAAACTTCTGTTGTGCCCCCCTCGAACGAGGATACGAGCCCAAGGGCCCAGTTTTTCCATCCGTTCAATCGCAGAGCAAGGACCAATCGTCCTCTTCGTGCGGACCTGATGACGCATATTCTCTCGACGGCCGAAGCTAACAAATCTGGGTAATAGGTCGAGGTACCCAGGTGGCCGCTTTGACGGCGATCGTCGGTCACGGTCACCTCGCGATCGGTCACCATATGGCGACCGAGGGGATCGTGGGCCGCAGTACCCCGATGCCGACCGTCGGCGCCCACCCCCGGATTCTCGGGGCAACCCACCGGGGTTTCCTCCCAGCCGGGACAGTTTCCGCGATTCCTTGTCGGGAATCCAACCTCCTCGCGGGCCCAAGGCGCTAATCGATCCTCCCAGCGGTCCCCGCGGCGGCGGATTTGCTGGAGATTTCCGGGGAAGGGGACGAGGCGGAGGCCGTGGCCGGCAGTGGCGCGATGACAGCCGCGATGGGGGACGCGACCGTGAAGATTACCGAGATCGACCACATTTTAGGGACGAACGAAGCCGCGAACGAGAACGAGTACACGACCGAGAGCGGGAGCGGGATTGGCAGCGCGACCAACGCGATCGAGTCGACTTTCCTCGCGCTCGGAGGCCTTCGCCGCCCCTGCGAGCACGGTCCCCACTCCCGAGCAGAGATTTCAGGGATGTGAGAGACGCGCCATTAGGGGTAGATGCGGAGCGCGCGAGACGGGGTTCAAGGGATGGGCCGCTCTCCGCGGGCTCTTCTAATTCGGATCCCATGTTTGCTCCGTCGCCCTTCCGTGGCGCATTTCGCGGCGCTGGGAGAGGGGCTGGCCGGGGCCGTGGGGATTGGGACCAGAGAGGCGGCAGAGACAGGGGCAACTTTTACGATGATCGAGACCGTTACCCACGAAGTCGGTCGCAGGAAAGCCGATGGGGACGGGAACCGGATGATCGGGATCGTAGAGACAGCAGGTACCCGGACCTGGCCAGGGACCTTCGCGATGACCGCGAAATAAGGGAAAGGGAAAACAGAGAGCGGGAGCTCATCCGCCCGAAGCCTGACCGGGTTTCACACGAACCACCGTCTGCAAAAGATGTCTCACCCCCGCCCCTCGCCCCCTCCGCACCCGCTTTTGGTTCCGTCCCAAGCCGCCAGGCTGCATCGACCGAAATCCAGTCACTTACGGGGAAGCCGCCGCCCACGGGCCCGAGAGCACTAACGGAAGAGAGACCCGTTTCCGCCGGCCATGGGGTGGGGAATGAAAGGCCACCGCCGACCGGCCCGTCCAAGCCCGTGCTACCGGACGGTGGCCCTCCCATCCCCCTCGGTCCCCGTGCGCAGCAAAAGCAGCAACGCTCTAGTAAGCAGTGGATCAACCCGTCGCTGACTGCGAAGAAGTCACAGGTGGAATCTCCAAAGACTGCCAGATCACAGAACTTCCCCCCGCAGCCTGCGAGGCCCAGCAGCTATTCCGCTCACACAGACTATCGAGATTTCGACAAGCGCCCACGGAGCCCTGGGGCCCGGTCAGACTCACACGCTCTAGCCGCTGAGCGATATGGACCCCACGTCGCAACCGGGCCGAACGAGATTATGATTAAATCGGAGCGAGGTTCACAATCGGCTAGGACGTCGGTTGATCGCGAGACCAGAACAGCCCCCAACAGCGCCGACTTTAAAATGGGAGGCATGGATACGGAACAACCGCCCCGCGAGCAGGAAGCCCGCCCAAGCGAACCAGCGGCAGCCCCAATCCCACCGAAATCTAGCGACTTTCAGGCCGATGGCCCGAAGGAGCATATCCCACCGCCCGAATCTGCGAAGAAAAGGCCCACCATTCTCGCTGTTCCGTTCTCTCGAGTCCGATTGCCAGCGAGGGAAACATCGCCCGTTGCGTCCGATGAATCTTCTGAATCCGATGACGACGAGGATATGGATGTCTACTTTGAGCGGGAAATATCCAAAGCAGAGGCGGAGCTTAAGAAGCTCAAGGATGCCGTGGATAAGGTCCCCGTTGGTATCGTTAAGCGATACGCGACCGCAGTGCATGAGTCTATGCTTGGTGTGCTTAACGACAGCGTGAGGCTGGCGGATCTGGCCGGACCCATCCCTGACAACTTCACGTTCCCTCGCCCGAAGCCTGGGACAGAGGTGGTCGGCAAGGAGATGCCCGATGCCGAACCACAAGTGCAGGAGGACCACGGAAAGGCACAAGCGACCCGCGAGCCCTCGGCCATTCCAACGGTGGAAGCCGACGACAGCGCAGTTCACCCACCCGAGCCTCTGCCAAAGGTCGAGGAAACCGATACAGAAGGCTTAGGATTGCCCCCTGCGCCAGCTCTCGGGGAATCGAAACCGTTAAACGAAGACGTTGACATGCAACATGACACAGAGCCAAAACCAACCGCTGCGCCGGATTTGACAAGCGGCCCGCCGGCTGCCGCAGATATTCCGGCGTTCTTCTCGCATCCGTTCGAGCGGCCGGAGACCGAGCGGAGCAGTGCATCACCAGACGAGGAGAGCGAGGACAGGACCGAGGACGACGCGAGCATCTATGGGAGCATCGAAGTCGTCAGGGAGTTTTCCGCCACCCCGCCTACCGAAGATCTCCCGATCTACAACGTCAAGCCGTGGTTTCAAAGCCGCCGCGTCCAGAAGTTGGCCGATGAATCCAATGAGTTCGGCAACTTTCTGTTTCAGCGCCTTCAACGCCTGGCTGAGGATACGCATTCTGCTCAAGACGACATACGACGCGAGTATGTGAAGGGCTATGATTCATATCTGCGGTTCACTCAATCGGATGATCCGGCCGCGGTCAGAAGTCGTGAGTCCTTCAATAGCTCTGGTGCGCAACCGGGGACCTCTGGTAGGGCGGCGAGCTCAGACTCCAAGCCTGAAGGGGGCAGAAGAGGAGGAGGCCGTTTCGCAACCGAACTGGACCTCGAGGCGGCGATAAAGGAGTCTATTCGGGAGCATCGGGAAAGAGAGGAAAGAGAGGAGAGGGCGCTCAAGGAGAAGTACCGCACCGAAAAGGAGGCCGTTATTCCCGAAATGTTCTGGACAGATGAGGAACGGGATAAGGTTTCGTTTTACGATACGGCCGGACTGCAGCCCCTGGAGAAACTCGTTGCGACCTGGCAGGTCGTGCCTGGCCATGTCAACTTCAGCCAGGAAGAGGCGGAGAGGTTCGAAAAGGCATACCTGGAAACCCCCAAACAATGGGGCAGGATCTCCAAGGAAGTGGGGAATCGCGATCCCGGTACCTGCATTCTGTACTACTATGCCAAGAAGCGCGATCTCAACCTCAAGGAGAAGTTGAAGAAGCAGCCTCGACGGCGCAAGAAGGGCCGAGGGAAACAGCGATCTAGCGCGTTAGTGTCTGAGCTCGGCAACACGGAAAATGAGACAGAGGACACAGCGGGCCAGGAAACAGGCGAGAACGGCGAGCGCCGGCGTCCGCCCCGTCGCGCTGCTGCACCGGTGTGGGGGAACGACGCGACGCCGAATGCAGACTCCGACGGTGCTACTCCTGCCCCAACCCCCGGTCGCCGCAGAGCTGGCACCACGGCCGAGGGCAAGAACGACGGCATTGCAGAGAAGTTGGAGGGCAAGCGCGGCGGCGGGCGTAAGCCACGTCAACCAAAGGCGGACAAGGAAGCCAAAGGGCCAAAGCAACTGGCACAAGCACCCAGTGGCGCACCGCTCGCCGTCCCCGGCAAAACAGGCAGGTCGCGGGCCAACTCCAAGGCACAGGGTACCGACTGGATGTCGCCGCAAACCCCCGTTGATCTAGCGGCTCGGATACCACTTCCGTTCGAGGTACCCCACACGGGGATGCAGCCGCCGCTGGTTCCGGTCCAGCAGACACCGTTGGCAAGCCCCGATCGAGCAGCGCCTCCGATGCCGTCCACCATCTCTGAAGTCATGGCTCCGCCGTCTCTCCGCCCCGAACCGCCCCCGCCGCCCGCTTCCGTCCCCACCTTTGAGATCTCTCAGCCAGCCGGACCAGACCGCATCCGGACCCCCCAGCAAGCGTCGAGCTACTGGAGCGTATCGGAGACGACCGACTTCCCTGGCCTGCTCCGCTCGTTCGGCACGGATTGGGTCAAAATTGCCAATCATATGCAGACCAAAACTGCAACCATGGTACGGCCCCACCCCTAAAACTCTCCAGACACGTCCCACTAATCGTCAAATTTAGGTCAAAAACTATTACGTCCGACAGACAAAGGAAGGCGGTAAACCGGAGTGGGAGCAGCTGGCCATGGAGGCCGACGCCAAGGCCCAGAGAGGCGAGAAGCGACCCGCGCCGCCGACGCCGACACAAGGACCGCGGAAGCGATACGACGTGTCGTCCACCGGACACCGGCCCTTGGCTGCCGCCGAGCCAGAGGATGCAATGCTAACAAAGGTTGAACCACAACAAAACCAGCCTTTCTCGCGTTTCCAGGTCCCCATCGCGCAGGCCGCCCCGGTTTCGCATCCGCTTGTCCAGCCGACACCGACTACGATGGCTACGCCCCTAGCCGCTGCCACGGCAGCACAGCAAGCACCGGCGAGCGGTTCGACAGTAACTCCCACCATATCTCCGCATACACATCCTCTCCGACCCCCGAATCCCGCGTATCCGTACCCAGACAGAGAAATAGAGGCCCCGACGCAAACCCCACCGATTCGCATCTCTCAGAAGCCCGTCCCCGCGACCACCGCCATGCCATCGAGTTCGGAGCCCGCGCCGCGCCCGGCCCAATGGGCAACAGATATGGGTCAACAATTCTCGCTGCTGTCACAGACAAAGGAAGCCCGTGTAGCACGCGACGCCCGGGAGCGGCAGCGGTTGGAACACGTTCAGCGGGAGTCCCCTCGGCCGGTGGAAAGGGCGCCTCTGCGGATGAAGCAAGAACCCGAACCTGCGCTCCACCACCCCGAAGCATACCCACAATTCCAACCTCATCCGCGTGGTGTGTCTTCACGGATGGAAACGGCGCGCCTTGGGAGACAGCCAGAGCCAGCTCGGACCGCCGCACCACCTCCGCAATCTTATGCACAGCCCATCCACGCGCAACCCATGCGGAGCATGCATGGCGAACCTGTGCAAGCATCCCAAATGCCCCCCGCGAACGAACGGCCCATGCCGAACATGCAGCGACAGCCACCAGTCTCGATACAAGAGCAGTATGGCGCCGTTCCCGCATCCGCTCCCCCAGCACCTCCGCCCCAACCTCAGACGCAACCTGCCCCGGCTGCGCCTCGTGCTCCTGAGCGCAAAGTTAATATCATGTCGTTGCTCAACGATGACGATCCGCCGCCGCCGAAGAGGGTCAGCGAAGTGTCTACGGTGAAGCGAAGCTCGACGCCACAACCGCTGGTCCGTCAACCAACCTCCGCGCCGCTACCACCACGCAGGGAGGTCGAGTCGGGATACCCGTACACCCGCGGCCCCGCTCAAGCGCCACCATCGGCAATTCCACCGCTCAAGCCGTACCACACCCAGTCACCGCAGCCACAGCACATGCGGGTGCCGAGCACGGGGATAACGGGTATGGAATCGTCTGTAGAGGCACAGCGTGACTACTATGCGCGGCATTCATACCCAGCTCAGCAACACGCGGCCAGCGCGTCGAATTCGCCACAGTCACAGCAGGCGCCATACAGCCAACACGGGCAGCACGGGCAGCACATCCAACAACAGCATGCGCAGCAGGCCCAGATGGGTTATCAAGGCCAGCAGCCGTATCAGCCTTACCAGGTCAGCCAACCGCATGCTGCGTCTCCCACACCGCAGTATGCTCCACATCCGTCCATGTCGGGCAGGCGAGAGGCGCCGCCGTCTGGGCGTGAGCCCTGGCCACCGCAGCAGTCGGCGATGCATCAACATCAACATCAGCAACACAGCCAGCAGCAGCATCAACAGCAGCAACAACCAGCAGCAGCAGCAGCAGCAGCAGCAACAACAGCAACAGCAACACCACCCGCACCAGCACCAGCAGCATCCATCACAGTCAGGCTGGCCGCCCTCTCACCAAGCGCCCCCGAAAGTCTCGCAGCCCGTGCCAGCGCAATCAGCCTGGGGCGCCCAACATGGCAGTGTCCAAGCCAAACCGTCTGTCAGCAGCCCACTCCCACCACAGCAACACCACACCTGGCCAACCTCAGGCCCAGGCCCGCAACAACCTCACCCTCTCAGCTTACGCGAGTCCCGCGGGCCCTCGGTCTACGACTCACAGAGTCCTACGACAGGCATGCCCCCACATCCGCATCACCAACATCATAACTCGCTCGGCGGCGGACGGTACGGCCCCGGCCCACACCAAGACGGCGTCCGGCGAGGCGAACCGCAACACCCGGCCACAGCACAAACCGGTGGCGGACAGCCACCCTACGCGCGGTACACCAACACCCCAGGCACGGGGCCCGCGCAGCAGCAGCAACAGCAACAGCAGCAAGGGCGTGACCCGGCACGGACCTACACCCCCGTCTCGGGCGGTTTCGATCCCCGCGGGCCGCCGCCACAACCCCAATCCGCATCGCAGCAGTCGCAGCATCCGAGCCAAGCTGCTCAGCAACAGCAACAACAACAACAACAATATGTAGCCCAGCAACAGCACCAACACCAACACCACCAACAGCAGCAGCAACAGGAGGCGGTGATGCGTGAACAGATGCGGGAGGCGCATATGAGGGAGATGCAACTGCGTGGGGGGACGGTTAGCGGACGGGATCCGGCCGACCAGGGAGGCCCTGCTGGTGGTGGTGGTGGTGCTGGGGGATTGTTGGCGAGACAGCTCCGGCCTGGACCGGAGGGGGGTCTGCAGGGGCAGGGGCCGGGGCAGGGGGGGTTGTATGATCGTGGTGGGGAGGGGAGGAGGTTTTAGGTTCAGTGTGATGGTGGTGGGGGAGGGTTGGTGTGTTTCCGTTTGTGTTTGTGTTTGGGTGAGATGGAAAAAGGGGAAGGGGGGGATGGGGGAAGGGAGGTGTTGGGTTTTGATATGCATACATACGTGTCATATTGTATATACATACATGGATGGATGGTACGGGGTCTGGTCGGTGGCAGGTTCATAGTTTTGGGCCTGGGCTGTTCCTGGTGTTCTGCTTTATCCTCATTCATCATGGCTTGGGAAATATAAATACAAAACCGATGAATCTCCTTTTGCTGTTTCTTGTCTTGGACTGTTCGCCTCGTAACTCAGGAAATATCAATGAAACCGAACCGACCCATTGGTTTCAAGACGCCCAACCACCTCAGTCCTTGCCATCTGTACGCACGCCTAGCCAAGGATGCGCCAACAGAACCTCGGGCAAGCTGGTCATCTCCCCCATCAGCTCAACCACAAGACAAACATGCCTCCCGGTTCGGCCCCTGATGCTCAAAGTCATCAACGAGGTGACAAACACGCCGGTACCCCCGCCGACTCCGGTCCCCATCGCGAAGATGCCGGAGTATCTCCCGCTCGAACACGGGCTTCCCATTATAGTAACACTCACCGCTCAGCACCTTGAGCGCCAGGAACCTGTGCTCATCATCGTCTCTGCGCGGCGGAGGTGGGTTTGCGGCGTTGATCAGCTCGCCAGAACCGTTCACACTCTGATCCCGGCTCACTCACGGCTTGGTTAGGTCCTGGACCGTCCAGGCTGGACGAGCCAGACGGCCGAGTAGACGCCGTACCCGATCTTGTTGAGGACTTGGTACTTGTCGGCGTACACGTCCCCGATGTAAACAGGGTGGAACCCGCCGGGCCGGTATTCATCCCTGCCTTCTTCGATGTCCCTGGGGTCGGGCATCGTCTTGGCGGGCTCGTCCTGGCGCGGGGTGGGTGGGGCAGCCTCTGGGGTGGGAGGTGTCTCTTGGGTTGGGGCGACGGGAGCAGGGTTGTCTTCTATCTCGGAGGGGGCCATTGTCGGGGGTGATGGATGGGATGAGGTGTCGGTACAGGCAGGTTGCCGGGTTGGTTTGTTCGTTGTAATGGTGACACTGGCACATTGAGGTGACTTCGTAAGGGCCCCGCAATTAACTGCTTGCTGTGTACTTGGTACATACTTGCTGCGTGTTGTCGCATAAACCCAAGCTTACACCTCAGGGGTGTTATGACCGAACGGCGAAAAAAAAAGAAAAAAAGTAAAGTGGAGAAGGGACTTACCTGATATCGTTTCTATCTCTTCTTTTCCTTGTTCCTTAACCTTCAAATTCTCTAATCTCTGGCAGCTCCGCCTTTCCTCGACACCACGAGGGTTGTCCAGAATACCCTCCGCCATATAAAGAACAACCACCTCCCTCAGTCACCAGCTCAATTTCTGCTTCAATAAGACGAGGTTCACATTCAAACCCCTCTTAAACTCCAACCACAATAACTCTCCAACCCCATCAGCTCCGGAGAACCAACCTCCCACGAACAACAACACCAAACGTTGATGGGGAGACACTTATAACAGGAAAACACCCCAACTCTAACGAGTCAAACATCAAATTATACCCCCCCCCCCCCCCCCCCCCCCCCAACGGATGCTAGGTTCACTGATGAATCCGAAGGGCAACGAACAAGGCCATCTAAACTCCAGGCAACCCCGCGGCACAACTACCGCCTCCCATGCCAGCTTGGTAGCTTGGTAGGACATGAGTAACAAGAGCACAGGGACGCATTACCTAACCATCTACCATAGGGACTACCAGAGACAGGTTCTCACAGGCCAAAATATCAACAGAGAGGGAGAGGCCTTTTAAATGGGAGGGGACAGGGAAGCTTGGTCGAGGCGGCGCTTCCAGTCAACCCCACGATCCTTCGTTTCGCACCCAGAGTAAGCGTACATTGTCTGTTCTCGTTGAGTAGTGCACGAACTATTTTCCGACATTCTTACCGGCTTACCATGTTATGACAACTGACTTCAGTGGCAGCGGGAACTCAACTTCTCGGGTCACACTCATATCTCTATTGTTGTAGCTCATCAACCCCTACAAATGCTTACATCCCCCCATTACTGGTACCAAATCAACCTCTCCTTAGGCCGCCCCCCACCCCAGTCTAGCATGCTCTAAAGCTTCGAGTAAACAAGCTCCTCAAACTCCTTCATAACCGCCCGGACCTGCGGATCACTCGGCGGGAAGACCTGGGTGCCAACCAGACCACACACACCCGCCTCGCGGTCAATGAACTGCCGAAATGTCAGCACACATCATCCCTGACGACGAAACAGCACCAGCAGCACTCACCCAGCACATGTTCCACGCACCACCCCACTGCAAGAACTTCTTCTTCCTGTGTCCCAGCCCCTCGCCGTCCACCGACAGCAGGCCGCCCGCGCTCCAGTCGTAGTCAATCCCGCTCGGGATGTGCCCGACAGCCCAGTCAGGGTTCTCCATCGCCTTGTTCATGGCCTCCTTCTCTATCGGCCGCAGCAACGGTTCAAACAGCCACTTCAACGTCTCCGGCTTGAGGATCTTGCCATCGTCCATCAGGATCGAGTGCATCACCTTCATGTACGAGGCCATCCCCCCATACAGCCCCTCGCCACCAAACCCCTCATTGTCCTCATCATACTCCGTCTCCTTATGCTCCAGCTTGCCCGTCTCGGCATTCCGCACCGCCATGCCCGCCATAACATCATAAACCGGCTGATCAAACCGACCAGGGTGGAAAGTCAGAGCCAACTTCGGCACCCCCACCCGACTCAGCACATTCTCATAGATATAATCATCAAAAAACGCCCCCGTCAACTTCTCCACCAACCTCCCCGCCCAATCCAACCCACTCCCATACACCCACCCCTGGCCGGGATCAAACAACAACGGATACCCAAACCGCGTATCCACCGACATGCCCCCGGACACCGGAGAATGGCGCAGCGGCACGGGCAGCGGCCGACCCGTCGCCCGCGCCCACTTGGCCAGCTTCTCCTCCATGAGGATGTAGCCCGTCCCCGCGCTGTGCGTCAGCAGGTGGCGCAGCGTGACGGGCGTCTGGCGCGGAGCGTACGTCGGCTGCCCCTGCGCGTCGAACCCCGTCAGGATCGGCTGCTTGCCCAGCGTCGGCAGGTACCGCGTCACGTCCTCGTCGATTTCCAGGATCTTGTCCTCGACCAGCTTGAGCATGCAGAGCGCCGTGATCAGCTTGGTGAGCGAGGCCAGTGTGAACATGGTCGAGGGCGTGATGGGCGGGGCGGAGGGCGTGAGGGAGCTCGGGCCGTGCGCGAAGGTGTAGTCGATCTTGCCTGGTGGGGGGGGGGTCAGTCTGCTGCCATGCTGTGGTGTGATGAGAGAGGGGGGTCGGTGGAGAGTTGGGGTGGGGGGGGGTGGTGCGTACCGGACATGTCTCTCACGATGATGATCGAGGAGATTAGATCTTCGGCTGCTATAGACTTTTTTAGGTGCTCCCTGCATTTGTGTGTCATACTTGGCGAGTGTGTGGTTGTGATCTGCGTGGGAAGCTCGATGTCCCCGTGATCCCCCGCCACGTCACTCATGCCCGAGATGTTGGAGGGAGACACGCTATCTGCCGGGGTGAAAACCATCA